ATTTATAAAAATATATTCTATTATAGGTAATAGGATTGAGGATTTCTTCTTTGAAAAGATTGATAAAAAGAAACCTAATAGATTGAGCAATCTAGAATATGTAGGCATGGATATGATAGAAGCAGGGAATGATTTTGGTCCAGGAATTGCTTATGGTTTGTATGAAAATTAATTTCTTTCTGATTAATATTATATTGTAATTTCATTTTTTAATGTGCTATAATCTTACTTTCTTTTTATTGTAGGTAGTGCATTAAATAAAGTTGGACTATGTCAGCAAAAGTTAGGACAGATTCAGAGAAATTTCATTGAAGACGCAGCTAATTGTTATATACAGCCATTAAGAAAATTTTTGGAAGGTGAAATGAAAACTGTTACCAAAGAAATGTCCATTTTGGAAAATAAACGGTATGTATTTTATTTTTCCTGTATGTTTAAATGATCAATGGTAATATATATTATGTATTATTAATAATATTATTTCTTATTTCTAGATTGGACTTAGATGCATGTAAAAACCGAGTAAGAAAAGCAAGAAGTATGCTGGGACAACAGAGTGTAAGTTTTACTATTTATTATATAATTTAATTATGTGCTGTATATGTTTACTATGTGTTTTGTCCTATACATTGCTGCATCTCATAGGAGTCTGGGGTATCACCTGAAGTATTACTTGATCAGGTACTAATGGAGATGATACCTTCAATAGTTCAAAATTTGCAATGAACTCTGTATTGTTTAAAATATATTTAATATTGTTATACATCATATGAAAGTTTTACATCTTCACATTGTATATTATTTTATTATTTTTGTTATAACAGCATCTATAAAAACTATATATATTTTTAATTTTTATATAAACAATTTCTGATGTTTTATAATTAAAAATAAAAAATAAAACTGTTCATTACTCTACTTAGGCAGAGAGGGAGTTGAGAATAGCACAGTCGGAATTCGATCGTCAAGCAGAGATCGTGAAGTTATTGTTGGAAGGAGTTTCAAGCTCGCAAGCTGGACATCTGCGTTGTTTGCATGAATTTGTCGAAGCACAAGCACGTTATTATGCTCAGTGTCATGCAACAATGCAGGATTTACAACGTGAACTTGCGGGGTAAGGTAACATATTTATCCGTAAAAGTTTATTCCTTTTTTCAAATATTGTTTAATTATCCTGCACTACTACCCTTGTACAGCTATCCTACTCTGTGGTGATCTGAGTGAGTAATGTTTAATGATTATTGGATGCTATGTCATATATGACATGTAAAAGTATTTAGAATGGAGCTTATAGAACCATTACTCATTCTCAAAGATCATCATATACTGTTTTGTACTGCTTAGAATTCTGCTTATTTTTACAAACATGGTGTATGCAATGATTATTTTCTATTTTTTTTTTTCTTTTTTTTTCTATGTAGCAGCTATAGCATAATTATATGTTTGATGATAAAACGGGTATCCTTGTTTTCTTTCTAGTCTTATGCTTATTATACTTATTTCTTCTCTCAATATTCTCTTTCTATTCTCTATCTGTGCCTGCATGATTGGGATTGCAGGACGCGTCAACCGAGTCCTTTGCTACGAGTCAACAGCGAAGATGTGATCGAGCTAACATCCTCACCCTCACAATCCCAAAATTCCTTTATAAATCCGCCACTTGCTGGTTCTACTTATGTTACTGCTACCTTTGATACAGATATTTCAAAAGTTTAGCTTTAAGAACAAATAATCGCGTTAAAAAAGGGGAATAACTACTTCGTACATTTATGATTTAAAATAAATGGAATCTTAGGATATTTCCTCTCTGATATACATAGTTATATACTTGTTAACTAATGCAACGATTTTAGAAACATGTTAAATGGTTCTTAGTCTATTATGCTACTATCAACAACTTGTAACTATTCAAAATCAGTGAATAAATTATCATTATGAAATGTTTATTTACTGTTAATATGTTTTGTTTAGTAAAGTAGATATACATAATAAAAAAAGTAAATATTCACTGCCTATTACACTAGCTATGTATTCTTAATAACGAAATTAGGAGAGGAATTTTGTCATATATGTTTTTTTAAATGCTGTTCGTATTTGAACCTGTGTCCAAACATGTGCTGTATAGTTGATTAATGTTTATTTTTAATGCATGCTGCTAACATTTCTTAGTACTAACAAGTTATCTGTTAATACATAGAGTTATTTTCTGTTTTAAAACTTTGTATTATGTATCTTATGAAACAATGTTATTTTCAGTTTTACCAAACTGCTTATGTCTTTATGTATGTTAATATAATTTTCATATCAAATAATTTCAATCAATATGTATTTATGTTTAGCATGTAGATTATATGAAATCCACATTGATAGTGCAAGTAATAAGAATTCGTAATTCTTAAAAAAAAGAAAAAGAAAAAAAATTAAAGTGTGTCGTTATCAATTTCTTAATGTTAAATAATTGTGAATTATGAATATAAACAAAATATTAAATATTACAAAGACAGTTTTTCACATTTACACAAATAGTTGACTCACTGTAAAATGCATGTTCACCATACTTATCCAGAATGTAATTTATCCTACCCAGCTTATCTGGGGGTCCTTATCATCCGACTACCCCACCAACATCCAATGTATCAGGAAATGATGATGAGCAACTTGCAAGGGTATTATACGATTTTTCTGCGACCAATTCTGAGGAATTAAGTGTTGTCCAAAATGAGGTAACCAAGTTTGTGATTTAGTTGAGAAGTAGCATGCTTGCAGCGTAGCTGTGCAAATGGCATGAATTGTTATTAAAAGTGTTTCATTTATTAGTTCAATTCTGTATAAAAATTTAATAATTCCGTTTGAAAAATTTGATAATTTAATTAGTTTTACGAGTCTTATTCTTTTCAATTTAAACATGTAACAACGATTTAAATATATAAATTCTATTAATAATGAACACTAAAAATTAGTGCATTTCTTAGAAATGTAAATGAATATACACGAATAATTATTGTGCATTTTATGACTATTGAATTCAGTACAATGAAAATGCATTTTGATATATTATGAACATAAGGATGTAAAGGATACTAGTGCTACTTACATAAATATGATCTATGGTATATTGTCATATAACTTAAAATTATTTTAATATATAGTTTAAATATTTTTTTTTTATAATGTGTAAAATAAAAATTGAATGTCTAAGAGGAATAGTGTAAATAAATTTTTGTAGTTGTTATAAAGGTACTATAAAGTAAAAACGATATGTATATGTTGGGATTGCATATGATACTCAATTTAGTTTAAGCTTCTTTGTTTTAAAATTAGTTTTTTATACACCTGACATTAAATTTTTAATTGAGAATGCATGACATCTCTATTTTATACCTATAAGATTTATAGATGTATAATTAATTTCCCTACTTTTGTTAAAGTTGTTCTTGATGTTTAATATACATTTTTGTTCTGATTTTATTTGTATATTTGTTTACATATTAAATATGATTGTTATGTGTATGCACATAGTGCATTGCATATAAAAAAAACACATGTACATTTATTCAAATTTTGCATGTATCAAATAAATTGTCGTTCATTCTGTTAAATGTATTTCATTTATTCACAACCTTGAATATAGTTTTAGCTTTTATGTTTTTTCAATTCCTGTATTCTAACTTAATTCATTGAGTTTTCTTCAGGTTTTTGTTTTTATAGATTACTTGGAATAAATTTATTACCGCATTTTAAGATTTGACACAGTTACTACTACTATTTTACAACTATTTTATAGGTAATCACCATTACTGAGATACCTGGTGATGAGGATTATGTACTTGGTATAAGTGGAATAAAACGAGGAAAAGTGCCCATAGCATATTTAGAGCGGATTAATGTTTGCCAACGAAAATTCAGTCAATAACTATTTTTAATGCACATTCCTTATATTTAAATATTTCATTTTATTTTTGATTTCAATCAAAATTGCTGTATTATAAAATGTATCTTCCATTTTGTGCAATAAATTTAAAATATAACTGCCAAAGTGTGATTAATTTAAAAAATCACATTTTTGGGGTACATATTTTCTCTGCCAAAAAATCTATATAAATTGATACAAAATATTGTGCAAAAAGAAATGGAAGCCCAAGAATTACATATCAAATACCAAGCAGTCAATTTTTAAGATATGGAAGTAAACTGTTTAGAAAATGTTTCTGTAATTATAACTCACTCACTGTTTAAGAAAGAAAAAAGCTGTGTTCTATAAATATTAAAATGTTATATGTTAATATTATCTATGATAAATATATTGTTCAAAACAAATGTTATTCATTTTTAAAATGAAACCCATAATGTTGTTTTATAAATTTATTGATAACCAAGAAAATATAAAATTACTTCTTTTTGGATACACCCACTGTACGTCCACGGCGACCAGTGGTTTTTGTATGCTGGCCACGTACACGTAGACCCCAATAATGACGCATACCCCTGTGAGCACGAATTTTCTTCATTCTTTCCAAGTCCTCACGAAGTTTTGAGTCTAAATATGAACTGGTAAGCTGTAAAATATAATATAATATTTGTGTTTTGTGCAAATCTATAAAAGAAGCAACAAGTAACTGTAACTATTGGAATTTACATGTTGCATAGTAATGAATTAACTTTTAATTCAACATGATAATGTTAAATAATAATTTACTATGCAGTTTTTTTAGCACGAGCTACCAACTAATTCATATATGGAGTTCATATGGTCAGTCGTGAAATCGTGCCTCATAAAGTTACAAATTTTACCTTTTCCTTTCATAAATTTAAATTTGATAAACTATATCCATATTTCATAAAAATTTTATAATTGTACACACCTGTGAATATTTGCCATCTACAATATCTTTTTGCCTGTTCAGGAACCAGTCAGGAATTTTATACTGCCTAGGATTGGCCATAATTGTAACAATTTTTTCAACCTTGTAACAAATAAAATCCAAATAAATATTATAAAATTTATAAAATTTCATCTATATTGAATTATTAATAAATGAGTTCTTACTTCTTCTTCTGAACATTCTCCAGCACGCTTATCTAAATCGATATCAGCCTTTTTCAAAACGATGTTAGCGTAACGACGACCTACACCTTTAATTGCTGTCATAGCAAACATAACTTTTTTATTTCCATCAATATTCGTGCCCATGACACGAAGAATATGTTGGAATTTCTCTGGAATTACAAGCGACTGGAACATATATTTCAAATACAATTATATCAATTCGTATAAGAATTGTATCTATTGAGGTTATTAAGCGGGTTAACCTATACACGTATATCGATGTTAATTAATATATTTAAAATCTATTTTTTGACATAATATAGGACAATACAAACATATTAAAAACATAGTAATAGCAACACTTAATTAAAAAAATTATATAATATATTATACTTCAACTATACAGAAATCATGACTAAGATAGACGATTCGGTAAACAGACAATACAATGTAACTTTTTCTTTAAAGTTATTAAATATTTTTATAATTGGTAAAACAGATGACTATTTTATAATTTACTATAAAAAATATAAATATTTTGTAGAGGATTCTATGAATAATAAGAGATTTAAAATTGTATCATACAAAACTCACCATCTCGTTGAATTCCCTGTCAGTGGAAGAGACAGAACTGAAATTGCAATTTCGGTCCTAGAGAGGGCATTCTCTATTGGTTGCCAACGGTAAAAAGTATAATTAAAATAAAACTTTATACAACATTATTATAGATTAACATTATTATTTTAAATAGATAGCATATAATTAATTAATTAAATTCATAACTTCAAAATAAATAAAAATTAAATATGTTATGTATTTATTAGTATATTATTATGGTTACATTATACATGTAGAACGACAGATGGCACTCTTCTCTATTTTTGAATACCGGATATAAGAAGTGCATAATGTAAAATGAATTATTTTTACAAGTAAAATATATATATACATATATTTAACGTTAAAATATTCTAGTTTCACAAATTTTTAAGATCGAGTACTCATTTCTATAAATGCTAAATTTCATTTATTAAATATTACATATACTAATAATTTTAGTGTGAAATTGTAAGGTGTACTACGATAATTTGAAAATTATAAAAATCTGTAACAGTTATGGCGGGACTACCGGTAATGGTGCAAATCAAACGACGAAAAATAAAAGTTACACACGGCATTAGAGTGCATGCCGTGCATTGTTACTATTCCGAATAACGAAATATTATCTCTTTAAATAGCAATAAATATCTGTCTTTCATAATGACATGCAAAAATCAGTAGATAATTCGTTGATATCAGAAAACTAGGATTATTGAAATACGTAAGTATTTTTCGATTATTCTTTCTCTTCTCTTAAGAAAATAGCTAATCTCGAAACAAACTTAAATAATGAAAGTCATAAATTTATTATAAGTATAACAATATTTTTCAGATATTCACGTTGTATTTATTCGAACTTCAAGGTCGTGCAAAATATTTCGAGAAAGTCGATTGCTATAAGAAGAACTTAAATATCGTTCAATACTGAAAAGGGTATGTTTTAGAAAAATTTTTGTACATAGTGCAATAAAGTATATCTCGCGGGTATAGTTTCAATAACTCAATAAAAAGCGAAGGACTGAAAAGTAATCGTGTATGTAGCAGGATTGCCATTTTCCACAGGATACGATTTCCTGCTCGGTTTTTCAACGTTTTCCTTCTTTCAACCCCATATCCAGGAGGGTGGAGCAAAAACGAGCGTCCAGAGGGTAATAGGGAGAAGAAATTCCGAGGTATGATACCCCTCTGATTCGTTTTACGATGGTCGTTTCCTCGAATTAGGACGGAATAAGAAAGAATTCGTGAATCCGCTGATTTCGACCAATCCCCTTTTATCCTGCTCGCTAGAACTTGGAATATAGACGTACATCATATAAATATGCGAAAGTTCATGTATGTAAATATACGACCATATACTAAAACGAAAAAGAGGTCTCATAGGAGCCATTGATATCAAATTTGTTATAGAAATATATAATAAATTAAATTAAGATTAAATAAATTTTGTATTTGCTATAGCTTGTTTTTAATATGTCTCATATATTATTTATCAATAGATTTTTATAGCAAATTTTAATACGAGACAATTTTAGCACGAAGAAATAAAATTCAATAGTCATCGTTGGAAAGTACTAACTGTTTCGTGATACGTGACATCGTGATATTTGTGACGAATAAACAGGAAACTGACCGTTCACGGTTCTAACAGCATGAACATTCAACGGTACAGAGCACCTATGGTCATCGGCACGTGCTGACATATGGGCTTTAGGGCTTTGTCGGTATCCAGTGGTCTCTTTGCGGGGGTGGTAAATGGGGTGTCATCGTGTTAAATGGCCCTGATGCCCGCGAATCCATTCAAGGAGTGCCTTTACCAAGACTCAAAACCAATTCTTGCGGCTAATTTCCACCGTTTATACGTTTAATTGCCTTTTCAAGCCACCTGGACTACCAAGCATTGCACGAACCGATTTCGTTCAATAGAGTTTCAAATTGTCGTATTTATAGTTTCCTGAAATCTATTGATTCCTGTTACCATTCGAAAATAGGAAGTTATTTGTCATGTCATCATCTGTACGTTTCATTCATCATGAAATTAAATATTTTCTAAAAATTGACTTGAGGTTCGACGGATGTAATATAAATAGTTGCTTTATTAATACTTCAAAAATAATTATAGGTTAAATTCAATACTGCTTTATAATTTTAATGCACAATTACAACAAGTAAAACCATTTAGTTTTACGATCTGCCACTAGGAAAGCAGGATTGTACTTCTGCATGGGAAAAGGAAAATTTAGGGAACTCCGTCAAATGCGTTGCGATGCGGTTTTATGACGATGAATGAGAGAAGTCGTTCCTTCGATGAACAGGGACCTCGGTACATCATCTTCTTGTACCTGCATCTTTGTCGTCAAGGTCGTTTCCTTTTCCCGAAAATCGACTTTCGAATCGGCTACTGAACGCCCTATTACCTGACGTTACTTTTCCTTCAGGTAACAGTTGAACATAAATCATACTCGACTTATCGACGATTATTATTTATCACAACTTTCTTCCAGAAGCATCTTCGTTTTTCTCACTTCTCACGACTCCGTCAATTTTTTTGTTTCTACATCATTTAATCTGAAACTTCCCATTGGGATACTTTATGCATTTTATTAACCAAAAATTTGGTATAATTTACAATTTGTAAAATTACATACAATTCCTTTATTTTCCTAATTTTACAAAATTTGCAGAAAATGTTATTTTTCTTTCCTTATTTGAGACGTCTTCTAACATGCAAGTAAGTAACTTTTAATTTCTCAATCTTGATTCGTTCATGTAAGGAAGGGTTACGTCCTTGTTGATGTGCATTAATCAGAGTACTTTTATTTTCTGTTATAGTCAGCCATGATAAATGATCGGATAAAAATGAAGTTTGACTAGAGAATGCAGCTGTGAATCGGCAATGTCTCTCACATCCAGCAACTTTCTACTCCTCATGGAAGTATGATCAGCAATAATGCACAGTACGATCGTGCTCAAACGATGACCGTGACGAAAACCGATTTCCCAGCACGGTACCATTTCCAGCAGCCTCTTCGGCTTTGCAAGAGCCACCCGCAATCTTTGTCGGCAAACAGGGGCTCGTAAATTACGGTAGGAACGTCTCAATGTTGGCAGGACCCTCGCTTGGCATTGTCTACGAGGTACCGACGTGTTAGACACGCACCCTGAATCTCAGTTAACTCAAATAGCTCTTTCGGACACTGGAGATCGACGTAAGAGCAATATATTTGCTATCAAATATTTATCATAGAAACGGTCCTTGTCTTAACTGAATGTTTTGCAGTCGAGGAGTTATTTCCAAGCCATTAAAGTCAGACAATTCTTGTAATTTCCAGCTCTCTTCATCTACCAAGAAATTGGAGTTTTATAAACACAATATCTGAGCTAAGCAAAGTCATCGACGGATTCTCTGGCTCGCTTTCATTTCTTCGCCCCGCTCTTTCGATAGATATGTTTCTGCGCACACAGTGATAACACTCATGCCTATACTTTGAACAGAGAAGCACGTAAGGCTGTGGCGTCGGGACGCAGGTGGCGGCGTTCAAAGCCAATTATGCGAACGCGCCCCGACGTCGGCGTCGTTCTCGCAAATCCCTATCCTCGCGTTTAAACCCGCGGGAGGAGAGCCAGTAGGGAGAGACAGGGAGTGGGAGAGAAGTTTAACTTGTCTACGCTATAACGGATTAACGGCCGCGATTTATTCGCAAGTAATTGCTTCCGCCCTTTAATTAACTCGCATTTATTTCACGTAATGGCGACCGCTTGCCAGCCGTACACGAACTTTTCAATGGAAGTGCTTCGTGAAAGAAGTCTACGCGATGAAAACGCGTTTCGAGCTTCTCCATCTTTTCTAAATGAAATAATAAGCTTGGTTCCATTTGACGTATTCTTCTAGAATGCAGTCCTACTCCGAATAAAACCTTTGATATTATTCCTATAATATCGTTAGAAGATTCCTGCTTAAAATTTTGTTAAAAGTTGAAGGAAGTTAAAGGTCTTGTACAGCAATAACAATTCTGATGAAGGAGTAACAAATTTGTTTGTTCACGTTAGTTAATATTACTTAGGGACGAGTGTCTTTGAGATCAGCAGAGAAGATTAAATTATCGATATACAAGTATTAACGTGATGCTCCAAAGCGATAAGGCTCTCATTGCAAACAGTCTTGGAATTACAAATTAGGAAAGATTCATTTAATTCCAAATTAAATTCGTTCCAATTTTGTAAATGTGTTTTATAGATGGTCCTGCCTTGTCTCTTGCACATCATGTTATAAAGATATATTGCAGAAGTGGAATTATCAATGAATGAGACGCAGAATTTGATCGTGGATGTGGCATCGTTTGGATGCAAAAAAGGACAGAATCTTGAGCAAACCGGGGCTTGCCCAGAGACTCACGGTCGCCATTTCTAGAACGATAAAGTTTCCTGAGGGTTGACTCTTATCTTTCCTATTATCGATAGTTGGCAGAGGACCAATATGGCCACAACACGGTCACCATGGTTACTTCGGCTGTAGTTGCTTCAGGAACGGGGGTCCCATCATCCGTGCCATTATCATGCTTTGCTATAAATAAGAACAAGCTACTCTCTCATCTCGGTACAAAGACGTTTTAGTCTCCTTCATCCTCAACGAGCTTCAACGAAGAATTATGCTTCATCCTGATCACCGGAGGATAAATTATGTTTCCAAAGCACTAAGATAGATCTATGTAACATCAAGAAGAAGCTAAGTTTGTTTGGTTCCATAAGTACAGGGTGTACCATACAGTTACTTGTTATTATATTCCTTCTATTCATTTTTCTGTATTTTCTATAAATGATTACTACATTTCAATGAATTCTACATAAAATTTTACTTTCAATTCTTGTTTAGAATAATTCTTTAATTTCTGTACAGGTGACAGTATATAATGGTTTAATAAACCTCTGTATCAAGGAGTCATGAAGTCTAGATTCATGATATTTAAATAAAAGGACGAGGTACTTCTAGGATAGCATTCGTGTCGAGTAACATTTGTTCCTTCATCCAAAATTTTGGAACTTTCTTTGTCTTCCTAAAATTGCTAGCGATTAGAAATTGTGGACAAATCTTGATGGAGTGGAGTAAATAAGGTTCGAGCAAT